CCCCCTCCGATGATCCGGGCACACACGGGGCGGGGGGCAAGAGAAGCCCTCAGAACCACCCACACCCTGGAGCAGACACAGGTCGGGGGCTCAGGGCCGCGTGTGCCAGGGGCCAAGGGAGGGGTCCCTCTGCTCTGCCCCCTTGTCTCTTTCCCAGTGTCCTGGCTCTCCCCACGCCCGGAATCCTAGGGCGGGTGAGAGTCACCCTGAAGTTGCCCAAGGGGGCAAAGTGCCAGGGGCGGGGGGGGTGACGTCACGGCCGGCTGCCTGCAGCGACTCTGGCGCACACTGGGCTCCGTGGGGTACAAGTGGGCTCCGTGGGTGTCTAGGGAAAGCTTGTGCGTTGCTGCGTCTGTCTGTCCTGCTCCCCTGCCTGTGGGCTGTGTGCGGAGGGGAGGCGTGTCGGCTCCGTGCTGGGATCGCAGGGGTTTGCTTCTGGGAGACACAACAGGCGTCCCCACCGAGGGTGGCAGGGCCGATGGGCCGGCGAGTCGAGGCTCTGGGCGGGCCGTGGACGTTCGGGGGGGCCCATCCCCAGCTGAGGAGTTTTGCTGTGACTCTGCAGAGTCTGAGCCACGGCTGCCGGGCGGAGTCACGCCTGGACAAGGGACTTGTGTGATGGACCAGGCTGGGTCTGGGCACCGCTGAGGGCGTCTGCTCAAATTCTGACGTGAGCGGGAAATTCCCCAGTGCACTGGGAGAACGGCTCCCTGGGCGTGTTTAGACCTTGGCTCGGGGAGTCCAGTTTGCACCCGAATCCCAGCTCAGCAGAATCTCTCTCCGGTCTGTGTTTGGAGGTTTCTGTCTCAGGCTGGCAGCTTGCAAGTCCGAAACCTTCCCGGGGCTTTTAAAGGTTGTAACTCCTAATGCCTGATCCGTGTCCACAGATCCTTGTTCGCAGAGGGAGTCTGGTTTGGCCGATGCACTGGGCAGGGGGCGTTGCTGGCACCCGATGGCCTAGTCACACTGAGCCAATCCTTTAGCATCCAACATCTAAAGGTTTATTACTAAAAGAACGAAAAGCAGGAGAGTGAGGTTGTTAAAGGATAGTACGTTACATGTACCGAATCTCCCAGTTCTCAATGCAGGCTCTAGCAGAGATGTTACAGCTGCTGGCTTAAAAGTCCTTGGTGTACACACCACGTCAGGATGGGTCCACAGTTCTTCCCGGCTTGTGATTCCCTGTGAGGCTGCATCTGGGGTCAGGAGCAGATCTGAAGACAAGATGGAGTCAGCCACATGGCATCTTTATCCCTCCTTCCTGGTCTCTTCTTGGCTACAGCAGGTCACCTGCCCCGTGGCCTATCCCTGCTGGTAGCCCTTAGGCGTCAGTCTCCATTCTTGAGGTGTGTCCTTGGCCTATAGAGGGCTATTGTTCCATAGAGTATGTCTACACTGACACTCTAGTTCAAACTAGGGTGGCTAATGCAGGCATTCAAACTTGCAAATGAAGCCCAGGATTTAAATATCCCAGGCTTTATTTGCATGTTCCCCGGCGGGGCCATTTTTAAATGCCCGTAGTTCGAACTATTTGCCCACGGCTACACGGACTAGGTAGTTCGAATTGAAGCTCCTAATTCTAACTACCGTTAAACCACCTCCCCATAGCTCAACCACATACAGAGAAACATTTGGGTGTCCACACAAAGTACATGCTGACAACTTCGCACACAGACATTGTACAGTCACACGAATAGCACACATGGAATGAGAAGAAAGCAGGCTTCTATTTGACACCTTGCATGGCCCCCTTGGTACCACCTTTGGGGCCAACACCCCCCCCATGGGTGCAGCAGTGATCTGGCTGCTCCCCTCAAAATCCAGTAACGTGACAACTTGCTTGTGTGATAAACAACAAATTGGGAGATCCGTTCAGCCTGCGAGAACCGTGGGGTTCCCGCCACGTGGGCAAGGGGAGAAAACGGCCCCTGGAGATTCCTCCATTTGGGCTTCGCTCCGGCTCCTCCCCGCAGGAGCATCTCTGCTAGGAACTGAGCCGGGCAGGACTGACGGCCCCTCCCAGCACAGGGCGTGTCCCGGAGACTTGTGATAGCAGAATATCCCATCCCGGCGACACGCCTGCACCAGGAACCTTGCATTGGTGGAGCGATGGAATTTGAGTCCTTCACTAATTTTATTCTCGGCCTCTTCTCTCTTTTCCTCATAACCGTTCCATGTTGGATGTTAGAGGAGGGGCCCAGCAGACTCAGGTGGGTAAGTTCTGGGGTATAAACTTACCTGCGACTGTGGCTGCTCCTTTGCGTTGGGAGAACCTGTTTGGATTTGGTGAGACTGGGTTTCCTAACTTTTATCTGTGTCAGGTGCGCTGCGGGTTGTGATACAGGAGAAGCTGGAGTGTGGAAGGGGGGTTGCTTGTGTGATTTCTTGATCACCAGCCTGGCGGTGGCTCATCTGCAGCGGAGGGAGAAAGGGGCAAGGACGTGAGTGGGAAATTCCCCAGTGCATTGGGAGAACGGCTCCCTGGGCGTGTTTAGACCTTGGCTCGGGGAGTCCAGTTTGCACCCGAATCCCAGCTCAGCAGAGTCTCTCTCCGGTCTGTGTTTGGAGGTTTCTGTCTCAGGCTGGCAGCTTGCAAGTCCGAAACCTTCCCGGGGCTTTTAAAGGTTGTAACTCCTAATGCCTGATCCGTGTCCACAGATCCTTGTTCGCAGAGGGAGTCTGGTTTGGCCGATGCACTGGGCAGGGGGCGTTGCTGGCACCCGATGGCCTATGTCACCTTAAGGATGGGCCCCTCCAAGCATTTCTGGTGCCATTCTCCCTACCTTTCCCAAACCCAAGGTCGCTTTTTGAGGTGGGACCTCCAGGCCGGCCTGTGGAGTTCACGCTGTGGGCTGCCATGGCTGTACATCGCGGCAGTGCGACACTTTCTGTCTGTGATCGGTTCCGCACTGATCCGTCTATTCAGAGGGAGTCTGGTTTGGCCGATGCCCAGGGCAGGGGGCGTTGCTGGCACCCGATGGCCTATGTCGCCTTAAGGATGGGCCCCTCCAAGCATTTCTGGTGCCATTCTCCCTACCTTTCCCAAACCCAAGGTCGCTTTTTGAGGTGGGACCTCCAGGCCGGCCTGTGGAGTTCACGCTGTGGGCTGCCATGGCTGTACATCGCGGCAGTGCGACACTTTCTGTCTGTGATCGGTTCCTTCCCGAACCATTCCCAATATTCTCTGAGCTTTTCCGACAGACACTGCAGAGGTTTTCAGGGAGCTCTCCGCAGCGACTCCCAGATCTCTCTGGAGTGGGACCAGCCGCGCCCCCCCCGAGGTGGGGTCACACGTGGGATTGTCTTGCCCTGTGCGTTCCTTTGCGTTTCCGCTCCCTGGATTCCCTCTGCCCCCGGCGCCCAGGCACCCAGTGCTGGGAGGCCCCTTTGCAGCGCTCGGCAGGCAGCTCTGCCCTGCAGCAAGACGGGGAATTTTGTATTGAGGGCAAATGTTCCACCTCTGCGTTTGCGCCTTGGGAGATTTGGGGGTTCAAACTGCAGAGGGGGCAACTGCCCTGCCCCCGCTCAACCTAAGAGGCACCACTGCTGTTCCCCAGCTGCCCCGCCCCAGAGGTGGCCGCATCTCAGGGCCCCGCGAAGGAGCCTTTAGGAGGGAGGCAGGCAGGGGACTGAGGACACTCCCGTGGGCGCTCTGCTCTCTCGCTCTCCCTGC